CGAAGGTCTAGTCAGTGGTTTGGTAGTGGTTAGGTTATGTTTGGGAGTTTCAACTGGTGCTATGTCACAAGTCTCTTCTTTTAGATTGATTTTAAGATTGACAATTGTCATAGAACCACTAACTACGTGATCTCTATTTGCTTGCTATCACCTCCCAGACACTTAGGGCATTGTTTGCTCCTTTCAACTTTATTTACAACTCTAAATTCCTCAACTTCAACAAATTTTTGAGCACTCTCATAAAGCTAGTATAGCTGCTTAGGTTTTTTTCTATCATGGAGTATTTGAGGTGATCATTTCTTACCCTAGAAGTAAAAACTTAGATGGCCCATTCTGTGTTGAGGTCTTTAATCTCCAAGGTGACCATATTAAACCTTTTCAGGTATTGTTATAATATCTTATTAGGTTTCTATTTTACAACCAACAAAATTATAGAGGAACATACCGTGGCCCTATTGTTAAGGAAATAGGCCACAAACTACCTATTGAGTATGTTAAAACTATCAATAGTTGTTGTGGTTATTGAGTAAAATCATGTATGGGCTCTACCTCGTAAAGTTGTAGGAAAAACTATACATCTGATTGCGTTTGAGGCATTGTGCAAGTCCATAAAAGTCCTGAAATGATCCAGGGGGTCTTCTAAATCAATAGCCCCCTTACAAGTTTCTTTAAGGAGTTTGAAGGAAGTAAGGTTATTGACTTGTCTGATTAATGGGGTTAAGGGTTGTGGTTATTTTCTAACCACTATAAATCTTGTTTTCCAAAGGTGCCGAAGTTGGTTTTTTAGGATATGCTTTAATGCTCAAGTTAGTGAAAATGTCTAAGGTTTGGTGAGAAAGAAGGTAAGAAGTATTGAAGAACCTACAATGGAGAGGAATGCTTAAGTCTTACATACCTGGACTTTCTTTTACCTTATATACGAGATGAAAGGTAATGACTTGACTGAGACAGTTGACAGTTAATGGTGAATCTATATGGAGCTCAAAAAAGGTTAATAGCACCTAATTATATAATATTTTTACATGCTAAAAAGGTGTTAAATTTTAAATTTTGGATGATTTTTGATACTTTCGACGTTATTTTCATGATTTTAGGGTTTCAAACTCATGGACTTCATTTTCAGGCAATTCATGCGTATAAGTATGCGAGAAGCATTTTTGGCCCAATGTTAGAAACCTATAGCTGAACCACATTTATCCACATTCATCCATCCATACAGCCAAGCTAAAGTTTTACTTGGACAAGGACTCTCCCATAATGCATTATATTTGGCCACCTCTATTCTAAGAAGGATTGCATGAAATTTCAAGCTTACTTGGACTCCAACATATTTTCCGAAAGAGAAGTGATCCAAGAGTGACTCTTGTGTTTAGCCACAAAGGAATTTTGCTTGGATAATGATTCTATATACATTTGTCTAGCTCATTTCCAAGAGGAAATCAAGCACACATGTGATTCAAGCATACAAGGACACTTTCATCTCTATCCATTCTGCCATTTCAAATGAAAGAAAGGATAATGCATCAATGGAAGAATTTCAAGCCTAAAAGGACTCTAGAAGCATTCGACCTAAAGAGATTGAAGTCCAACATGAGTTTTTTGCTTAGCCTTAAAGAGTTTTGCTTGGATAAGGACTTTATCTCTTTGAATTTCAAGAAATTAGATAAAAAGCAAATTATCTTCTCTTGAAATCCATCTTAGCCAAACCTAAGAAGGAAATTTAATCAAAATTGCATCAAGACAAGATGAATGGCCAAGATCTTTACTTCAAGACCTCATTTAGCCAAGGCATTCAAGAATGAAGAGACCACCTTTGTCATGTAACTTTGAAAGATAAAGATGAAGCTTTATCACCAAGTATTTGAATTTGAATAAAAGTGTTGTAACCTTATCCCCCTTGGCTGAATCCTTCATTATAAATAGGGAGGTCATTCACCCCATTTTATCATGTCATACCATCTCTTACCTAATTCTCTTATTCTATTTTTAGTTTCTTAATTCTTTTCTTTTGCTTAGTTATTGGCTTAGGTGACATATTTGCCAGTAACTACAAAAAGCTTTTGCTTTTTAAATTATTTTCTTTTAATCAAAAAAGTATTTTCCAAAAACTTTTCCTCTATTGTTGTAGTTTCAAATCTTATTCTTTACATTTTCAATTTCGACAAGCATTCCTTATTTCTTAAGTATGATTTAAGAAATTTTACTTTAGTTTAATACAAGTTTCAGCTATTGCTTTTCTTTACAAGGTTTCATGCAATTTAGCTTTCTTGTTTTTTTATGCAATCTTATGTCATTCAACCTTCATCAAGTGTTCTTATTTTTCAAGTTATTTGCTTTAGTTTGTGGTTGTATTTTTTTACATCCCAAGTGACAGTTGGTGAAGTTAAGATTCAAGCTTGTATTGCTTTCAAATTTTCTTTTCATTATTTTATAATTATAGATACTTGATTTTCGTTACTAATACTCTATTTTTTAAAATTTCTCCAAAGTTGTTAAAATTAAGGATAAGTCATAACAAATGATAAGATTGTTTCAATAGAGGTTTTATTATGGAATAGCTATTCATGGAACAAACTTTTTTATAGAATAACTGTTTATAGAACAACTATTTAAGGAACAACTTCTTTAAGAAATAAGACTAACACCTTTACCAAAAACTCATGAAACACAAGTTGCTTCAACCAAAAGTTATTCCATAAAAAACCCTTCATCGAATGTTACTTTACCAAAAGAAAAAGTAAAAATAACCCTAGAATATGGTAGAGTTCTTGGGTTAATTCCACTATTAAGATGTTCCAAAGAGCTTGGCTCGGTGGATTAGATATGGAGATAGTTAAGAGGTTTTCTCTTAACCTTTCCTTGAAGTATAAGTGCTTCTCATTTTCTTTTAGAACAAATAGTGAACTTTAATATTCACTATACCTATTACCAAAAAGCTAATTAAACTCTTATTAAACAATACATTAATACCTTTTGTAACAGTCAATTCTCCCATTATTCACCATTATTCATATTCAATACTCAAGATATGTAACTTTTATTCTTGAAACCTATAAATAGGAGTTTTCATGATCCATGAGAGACACTTTTGGATTTTGACAGATTTCTGACAACTTTCTGTTAAACTATATCTATAATCTTTTCCTACTAAATCTTTCTCACAATCTTATTCTCTTCCCTACTTAACCTTACTTCATCACCTACCACCACTTGCCTCTGCACTTAATACTATAGGGTCAGCTCTAATCTTCCTCTCCGCCATCTCTCGGTACATCCTGTTGTACCTGTTTGCAATGCTTTCTCACTTCAACAAAAACCCCTTTGCAGCAATCAACTCTAAGTTTTTAATTATTTTGATATAAGATATTAGGCTTTCGTATTTGGTTCTCAAAGAACTGCCCAACATTACAATTTATAATCCATTGGGAGACGATACTAGAATATTTTCATTTTATTACTTGATCTATGCACTTGTGTCACGGACCTAAGGAAGAGTCCTGAATCCCACATCAAACATAATAGGAGGGTTACTGGGGTATATAAGGGTTCATACCACCTCCGTCTTGTGAGTCACTTTTTGTAGGACAAAACCGTGAGGCCAGGGGGCCAGAGCGGACAATACCTCACAAGGGTGTGAACCATGGCGGGAAGGCTGATCTGGGACGCCGAAAGGGTGAATGCTCGGGTCCTGGAGCCGCGCGGGTTCGGAGCTTAAGTCTCGACCCGTGACAAGTGGTATCAGAGTCAACCTTAAACCGTTCGATCCATGCCAAGCACCTCGAGGGAGGTAGGCAGGGTAGCCAGCCTCCATGACGAAGGTGTCACAAGGTTGGGTGGGAGAGAATGTCACGGACCTAAGGAAGAGTCCTGAATCCCACATCGAACACAATAGGAACGTCACTGGGGTATAAAAGGGTTCACACCACCTCTACCTTGTGAGGCGCTTTTTGTAGGACAAAATCATGAGGCCAGGGGGGGCCAGAGCGAACAATACCTCACAAGGGTGTGAACCGTGGTAGGTAGGCTGATCTGGGACACCGGAAGGGTGAATGCCCGGGTCCTGGAGCCTCGCGGGTTCGGAGCTTAAGTCTTGACCCGTGACACTTGCAGGCTATACGAAAACAACAATCAAAGGTCCACATAGGTGGTTGCAAACTGCATTTAATTATCTCAGGTAAGCATGGGTTGCGTTAATGGTCCCAGACAAGTTGGAGACCAAGTATTTAGTTTTAAAGTGATGCCTTGATGGGACGTTAGTGGAGATATCGAGCGAGCCCTTCTTTTGCAAGAGACAAGCCAGTTCTAAGGCAAGGATTCTAGATGTCAACCCTTACTAGTAGTGATATGACAGTTAAGCATGTATTGACTAGGTGATTAAAAGAGTTAACCTTGTTGACGGAGTAAATAGCTATAACATGTTTAAAAGAATTTACAATGTAAATTTTCCTCTTAATCAAGGGATTGAAGATCAAATGAAAAGTTTTATTATTTTTTTTCTGTTAAAAAAAAAGACATTTTTTACAAATAATGTACAAGTTCATGGCTATTTTCACTATTTTCATAGTTGGCACTTGGCATTATGTAAGCTTCTCTTGGGAAGGAGTTAGGAGTTTGACGAGCGTGCTACAACTTTAATGATCATTTGCTTATCATTACATCTTGGTTGACTTGTTAATGCTAGTGGCTAATTTCTAACTACAATGTGTGTAATTGTTCTGCAGGATTTCAGAGCCTTCGTAGCAGCCAATTCTGGCTATCCTCTACCCTGATAGATGATTATTGCAGGTCCTAGTGCAGGAACCTGCGTTTGAAACGAGAATAAAAAGAGCTTGTTGCATACAAAGAATAATGACCCCAAACTGGTCAAATTTGAGTGTATTAGAAGAATCTCTGCATTTCAGCTCCTAAGTTATTTAAAAAAAAAAAAAAAAAACACACCCACACGCACACAAACACATGCTAAAAGGCGTCATCAACGGAGAAACCAGTTAAATTTAGCACCAGGTTTCTGGTGCATTTGGACTTACTTGTTGCAACAGTAGCCAGTAACAACAATTACAATCCAAAAAGAAAAAAAAAAAAAAAAGTACTAATTTGGGCGGAAGATGGGAACTGCCACTAGAATTCCTATTTTGAGGTAATCAAGAATTAGGGTGGAAATACAATAACACTATCAGGTTCACATCACTCGCAATTATTTTCACTACAATTACACAATCATTTAACCCTTAACCATTCATCATGTGACCTATATAAAGCCCAAATAATGACATACTTATCGATGCTTCAGCACATTTCGTAATTGCAAATAATTCATTGTAATTGATATGAACTCATTATCCAAGTACAGATATCTTCCAGGTAAGTAGACAAGCAACACTTATTTTATTACTCTACAACTTAGAGCTCATATGCTGGGAATCTGGACCCCAAAGGCTCAATCATGTCTAGGAAAAGATATGCCATACCCCCAATCCCTTCAAACAGGGAATAGGGTCTGTCACCTCCATGCATCTCTCCCTTGGATATAAGCTTGTGAGCCCGATCAAGCAGAAAGCAAGCAAACGCTTTAGCCCTATATAAGAACTCTAACTTGCCCGTTTTTCGGTAAAGTGAGAGGAAAACATAAGCATTGCCACTAATGCCATGGCAAATTCCAACTCGCTTCAGCAACCCAAGGTTCCACACCACCTCTGCTGCATCCACAGCTGCTTCCAGAAATTCATCATCTACAAAGACCTAAACAACACAGAAATTCTAAAAAATTCTAGTTCTTTCACAGCCCACAAATAGTTGCTTGCTGCTAATTTTAATTCTTTCGCTAGAAAGTACTTCGAGAAAGAGTTACTTAGAATTGAACTTAAAGTTAATGAATTCCATTCAAGCAATACTTAATCTTGGAAAATCCATGAATGCAATTAATATTAAATAATGAAGGTCATTCGAACAATTCTACCAAGTGTAGGAGGCTATGCAAAGTTCTTTCTCTAGTAGCTACGATCTAAATTACAAACCTGAATTACATGCTTTTTTGCAGATATATAAACCTAATTGTAGGAATAACTTCACTCTCAAACATTCCCGATAATTGTTAAACAAAAGCGTATGCAATCACTATTGAAATTATCCCCAATAAACTTGGAAAATCTAGTGATCTCCATAACAGGACCTCTGGAGAATGACACAATAATTCAGCAAATTTTAATATAGTTTCCACTAGAGGGCTTCAAAAAATTAGCACCAAACTTGATCAAATTTAATCTTACCTCAGCAGCTTTGACATAAGTGAGGGCGATCCCTGGAGCTCCATGACACCAATGCACAAGAACATCCCTCTTTCTATCCTGTTCACTTGCAGGGTAGTTCCCACTCGGGAATCGATTCCTAATCAAGTATCTAAGAGTGTCCTTTACATCCTGAATCTCATCTGGTTTCAACTCCATGCCCATTAAAACATGTATAATACCTGCCAATCCATGTGCAGCACCCCAATACTTTTCTCCATACCATTCAAACATCAAAGGACTTCCTCCTTTCTTCGCTAACGCCTTTCCGTTCTTGATAATCTCATCAACAACTGCACGCTACACAATAAAAACACAAAAATTTCACTTCTGATCCATCCTCCTTTAGAGGTAATATATCACTAACATATATACTTACTGTAACTGTAGAAGGAATAGTCCCTTCACCAAGATGCTTGTTCAAGAACACGCAAGCCCAAAGAAACCCAGCTCTTCCATACAATAACTCATCAGGAAGATTCCTTGAGAGCTTAATCTGTTCCATAAATCATAGAAATTACAATTTAAATTGGAAAAAAAAAAAAAAACGCAAACATAAGGTCGTCAGCAAAGTACCTCTCTAAACTGGGTTAAGTAGTGATTAAGCAATTCTTGACTTCCAGCATGCTTTGCAGCTACAGCACCAAGAGCACAAACACCCGCTCGACCACATAAGAAGGTTACATCCCTAATTCTACCTATTATCAATTAACAGGATTTGACCCAAATTAAGTATTGATTCAGCAAAGGTAGTGATTGGTGTACCGAGAAGACAAGGAAGCGGAGTTGCAAGCATCAACGATGGCTAAGCAGAGGGAAAGATCGTTGGTGTTGTTGGTAACTTGAAAGGATTTGAAGAGTAAGAAAGCGGAGCCGAGAGTGCCACAATAGAGAGTAAAATCTGACACATTTTGGCCAGTTATCCCCCACGTTTCCAGCGTTATCTGCGTCAATAGCACAAACATTTGGTGAGGTTACTGAACCGAAAACTGAAAGAAAGAAAGAAATGGAAAAAGAAAGAGCAACGGTCTCTTTGAGGTCCAAAGCGGTGCGTTTGAAATGTTGAGAGAGAGAAGAGTAGGGCATGGAGAGGAGTTTCATCAGAGTTTCTCCAATTTCTTCTTTGTGTTCCATTTTTTCGGCTACCAAGTCTGGCAATACGTTTGGAAAGAAACGATCCGCCATTTTTTTTTTTTTTTGCCTTTTCTTTTCTCAAGAATTCGAAAGTCTCAAGTCTGTAGTGGCCGACTTAAATTTTGAACGACCGGCATTGTCAGCGCTGGAACTGCCACAAGCAAAGATCTGTCTCCACGTTGCACAGGTTTTGATTAAGGTGGCAGTAGCCCAACTGTTGTTCAGAAAATGTTTCTAGAAAAAGGCCAATTTGAGTCAGTATGGTGAGAGTGGAACGGACACGCGGCCTTCAGCTCTTCGGTTTGACGCAGTCTCCAAACCGAGCTATCTCCGCAGATGGTTCTCATAATATAACGCCCTTTTAAATAACATAAAGCATATCTAATTTTTAAAGTACAATGTCTTTTCAAAATTTCCCTAAATCATGATATTCCATAAGAATTTAACTCATATTAAGATCATCCAAAAAGTGACTTTTAAGCAACAAGATTAAAATGACACATCATTCATTTTAGAATATTGCAATTAATTCAATGCTCTTATTCGCATAGAGTCAATTCTAACTAATTCATTTTTACCATGGTTAATATGCATAAAATATAACTAATAATCAATTAATAAAACTAAAAAAAAAAAAAAAAAAAAAAAAAAGGAAAACCTATTCTTTTAAAACAAAACATTTCACGTCTCTGTGTCATTTATTAAAAGTGCCTCCTATCTTCCAAATCTCCTTTTCGTGTGGGTTCTTCCGTAAAATCTTATGTCGTTATAAATTGTGACAATTGCTGATTTGTTGATTGTAATTGTATTTTTAATGGCGACTAACTAGTAACCTTGGGAATTTCTTGAATGAAATTGCTTTTGAATATTTCTTACTTCAGGCTTTTTTAACGGAAAAAAGAAAGCCAAAATTTTAATAGTTGATATAAAGAAATTTTAATTTTAACAGAGAAAAAATCTGATATCCACCCCCAAGTCCAACCCAACGAAGTCCCTCTTCCCTCTCTCGATCCGAACACAACGATCTATCTCCATCAAAAGTAGCTTAAACGTGAAAACCACCCACACTCCCACATAAGCCTACCAACGTAACCAAAGCGTTTTTTATCTCCCACTTGACCATGGCGTCCTTCGACACAATGAGCAATGACGGAGGAGAAGACATTAATAATTCCTCATCTCGCCCTTTTGATGACGATGCCTACATGGGCTACGACTCTTCCACTTTCCCTCCTTCCCATGCTTTCCCTTCCGACGATCTCACCACTGATCCTTCTCACGACATCAATGATTATATTGACACTACCAACAAAAACAACAATGACCCGCATTCTCTGGATGTTTATGGGTTCCGGATGTCCACGCCCAACCTTGACTATGCGACGCCTTTTGAGACGTCTGTGATGGATGGAGTTGGAGATGTTGATGGTAGTGGTATCCACGGTGGTAGAGGTGGTGGTGATGATGATGGGATTTTTGCCTCTGATGGACCGGTGTTGCCTCCACCGGAACAGATGCGAGAGGAAGGCTTCGCGCGACGTGAATGGCGCCGGTTTGTTTTCTTAATTACCTTGTTCTTTGGGGCACTTGTTTGTTTCAATATATCCATAGAGAGAGGAGAAAGAAGAATAATTTCGACGTGCATTTGTATGTAGGTTCTGAGCAGTCGAAATTTGATATGATCATGAAGTTCGCATACGCTTAAGGATACTAAAATTAATGGGATTTGTTTGTGATTTAACTAAGGGCAGGATATATGATAGTACATGAAAACGTTTATCAGAAAGTAGCGTTTTCCATTAATTTTAGGAAATTGGTTTGAGAAAGAAAAAGATGCTGGCAAATGAACAAAGGTTACATTCATAATGCATGGTGACTTTTTTTTGTTATTAAAGAGTAAAAATTTGTACGTGAATGATAAGTCAATAATCTTTTGAGTTATTAATATTTTATTGCAATCAATTAATCTTTTAATATTTTATTTTGAATCAATCAAATTCTTAATTAAACAAAATTTATCTTGCGACAAAATTGAATAAATCAATCCCAAACTATAGTTAATTGTAGCATTAAAGAGATCTTAAAGAGAGATGAGCCAAAAAAATAAAGAAAAAAAATGTTTTTTTTTTAATTTTCACATATATTAATTGTGTCACGTGATAATTTTTTATCTACGTTATTGATATTATATGAAATTTTATGTAAGTGAGCAAAAAAATTAGTAGTGTCAACTTTTTTTTATCAAAATAAGAATTTAATTAAATGCAAATAAATATTGAAAAGATTGATTGATTGCACTAAAAAATAAAGGCTTAGATTTTTTTTAATTATAATTCACCAGCTTTTTATCCCCTTTAGGTTTTTTTTTTCTTTCTTTATAAATGAAGGTAGGAAGCACAATGAGCAAGTCAAATTGAATTTCTAGCCATTTATGTGCATGGATGTTCCATGTTTCCTTTATGGTTATTACCACTTTTTTTATCATGTATTTCTAGTAGCATTGTTTGATTTAGTTCGCTAACATGCATACGAAGGTAAAGCTAGATATATATATATATATATATATATATATAATGGATGCTCTACATGATGTTTGGCACATTATGCAATCAATGTCATGCTTTTTATCACATTCTTCTTTTGCTCAACTACAACAAACCACAAACCTTAAAAGTTTTTATGTAGAACTGGTGAAGAATAAATTATACTTTTGAAATCTTGAGGTCTCTGTTGGGGAATCAACACACACACACGTAACACCTACACACAAAATAATAAGCTCAAATTAAGAATAAGAATACACAAACATATTTGTTTTGGCCTAACTAAAAAATGACCTACTTCAAACCCAATCCACTAACAAATAAATTTTTACATCTATGAGATTTTTAGAATGAGAAAAGTAACCGAAAATTTCTTAATCAAAACTTAACCCAAAACCTAATTACATCATTTAATAGCCTACTTACTTAGCTATTCTCTTGGTGTCTAACATTTAGGATTACTAAACTAAAACCAAAACATCTTATTTATAAGGGTGAAATCTTTTATACCTTTACTAAACTCTTAATGTGTGATACAAGACAAAGACAAATCCCAACAAACTCTCCCTTGACTTAAATCTTGAAACACTTTAACAGAATCTACAAAGCTGACACGCTTGTCTTTCTTCTTTTCTTTCATCACAGGAATCCCAGCAACTGAGCCTCCATCAAGCATGTACAAGAGATTTTTGACCTTATTCTCTTGTAGAATCACATTACCATTCTTGTACACTTTCAATTAATTATTACTACCATAGTATGTGTACCCTGAGAAGCTAACTCACTTAAAGTAATTAAATTATAGCTACAACTCGGTACATACCTTACATGATGAAGTGTCTTAACAACATCATTGTGAAATCTAAGGCCAACACTCTCAATGTCTTGAATCTGCACTTTTTCATTGTTAGCAACCATAATATTCCCATACTTTTTATTCTAATCCAATTCCACAAAGCAACCCTATCATTATAGATATGGACTATAATAACTGAATCTAAAACCCAACCTTTATCACCTTTCAAAGTTTGAGTCTCATCTACAAGTCATCAAAATGATATCATTATCATCAAACACAACAATAACAATATCACTCTTTCTTTCATCTGATTTCTTTTAATCACTTGCCCTTCTAAAAATAGCCATATCCTTTTTCAGCTTCTTACAGCGTACTTGGATATATCATTTTTCACCACAATAATAACATTTTATGTCACTGTAATCTCTGTCTCTTGACTTGGATTTTTCTCTTGATTCATCAATCCTCTTTTGAGTCTTCCCTCAATCAAAACCCTCTAAGTTAGTATACTCTCATCAGGTGATGAGTTCTATGTTCCCATAAACCTTTCGTTCTCATGCAACGGGGCAATCACATCATCCAACTTCAAAATAGACTTACCCATCAACAAAGTCTGAACGAAATGCCTATAAGATTTGGGCAAAGATGATAATAAAATTAAAGCCTTGTCTTATCTTCTAACTCAACAACAAAAATCGCTAATAATTGAAAAACTAATCTATTAAACTCATTCAAGTAATTATGAAGACTCGTACATTCTTCCATCTCCAAAGAATACAGATCTATTTTCAAATATAATTTCTTAATTAATGACTTCAATGCATAAATACCCTTAAGCTTATCCCATAAACTCTTTAGAGTACTTTCAGTTGATACACTATACTTTACCTTTGGGGCTAATGTCAATCTAATAGTACTAATAGCTTTCTTCTGAATTCTATTCCAATTATTGTCAGACATTCCATTAAGCTTACTACTCTTTAATGTCTGATTCAACCCCTGTTATACTAATAGATTTTGAATCGTACTTTACTATAACATAAAATTACTCTTTTCATCAAATAATAGAATCTCAAACTTAGGCATAAACATACTAGATATACCTTCTTCGAACATCTTGAAATACTTGCTTCACGATTTCTTAGGCCTACCTCTTCTCCCTACGAACCTTGCTCTGATACCACTTGTTGGGAAATCAACATACACACATAGCACTCACGCATAAAATAGCAAGCTTAAATCAAGAATAAGAATACATAAATATATTTGTTTTGTCTAACTAAAAAATGACCTACTCCAAACTCAATCCACTAATAAAGAAATCTTTACAACTATGAGAAAAGTTATTAAATATTTTTTATTCAAAACTCAACCCAAAACCCAATTATACCATTTAATAACCTACTCACTTAGTTATTATCTTGGTATCTAAATATTTAAAATTACCAAACTAAAACCAAAACATCTTATTTATAAGGGTGAAACCCCTTATACCTTTACTAAACTCCTGATGTGAGATATAAGAAAAATTCAAACTCTTATAACTTCACTTAACTTTTTATGTGGGATTATGAGATTCAAGTCAAATCCCAACAGTCTCAAGGTGAAACATAAAATTGTCGATTACCTTGTTCAGCCTTGATATATGGCTTTTCGAAGTACGTGATATAAACCCAAGTTTCCATCTTTACAACTTAATTCATGGATTAACTTGTTGCTTTAATTCTTTGCGAAGATCCACTGGCCACCATTCTCACAGAGTCCCCTTTCCAACGTAAAAAGATGCTTTCCCTACTCCTAGATTAAGCGGAGGAGAAATGGAACTTGCATGTTCTAATACACTGTATGATTGCATGATTCTGGGTTTTAGGAAAAATGTTGCACAATTACATTAAATATCATTTCACAATTATTGTCAATATTGCCAATCATGGAAAATCAAATCTATTGATTTAAATTCCTTTTTGATTCAGCCTAAATGCCATTCATCTTGAGGAAAAGGAGGCAAGAGAGAAGGAGATGCGGAATCAGATCATTGCTGAAGCAGAAGAATACAAACGATCTTTTTATGAGAAAAGGAGTCAAAATTGTGAAACCAACAAGGCTAACAACAGAGAAAGAGAGAAGGTCGAAACTAGATAGTTTATAGAAATTGGCATTATGATTACTGGTTAAGCCTGCTTTCTCTTCTCTTTGTTTTACAAGACTAAACTAAATCAATTTCGTATTGTTTATGCAGCTATACTTGGCTAATCAAGAAAAGTTCCACCAAGAAGCTCACCAGCACTACTGGAAAGCAATTGCTGACTTTATTCCTCGTGAGGTGCCTAATATTGAGAAGAAGAGAGGAAAGAAAGATCCTGACAAGAAGCCTTCAGTTTTGATCATTCAGGGTCCAAAGCCTGGGAAGCCTGCTGATCTTTCAAGAATGAGGCAAATTTTCTTGAAGCTGAAACAGAACCCTCCACCTCATATGATGCCTCCCTCAAAAGATGGAAAAGATGGAAAAGAAGGCAAAGATGGCAAGGAAGGCAAGAATGGAAAAGAGGAAAAAGATGGAAAGAAAGACAAGAACGGAAAAGATGCAAAGGAAGGGAAGGACGCCACGAATGGGAAAAGTTCAACTCCAACTGATTCCGGTACTGTTGCAGAAAATACACACGCTTCACCAGGTAAAGATGCTGCTGCTAAGGGTGCTCCTGAACAACCAAAACCAGAGATTGCAGCTCCAGCTGAGGCTGATGAGACACCTAAACTCGATCCTGATGCTTCCCAGTGATGACAACCGTTTTTTTCCTTTTTCTCTTATTTATAATTTCTTTGCTTTAGTTTTAAGCTTCGCTTTATCATTCCTAATGGCGAATAAGAACAGACCATGGATGCCTTTTCGGGTCTGCAACATGAGCTGCAGAGAGCTTTCCTCCCAATTTGGTTTTGAAAATTTTAGGCAATAAGTAAAGGGAAAATTTTCTAGTACTTCCTCTTGTTAGGACATTAATTATCTAGCGAGTATTTTTTCTTCAGCACCACATTCACCTATCCAAGTTCTTGTGGATGCCCTTGTCTTGCATCTTGATTGAGTTTTCTTTTCTGCTGAAATGGAAGTGGTAAAGGACTCAACATGGTCCAAACATGAACGCATTTCCATTATTGGTTCTAGTTGCGAATGGAACCATGAGCGTCTGATTCCTTGATGTTCCCATACACATTTTTCCCTGACAGATTTTTGGTTTAAATACGGATAAGATTGTTTCTTTCATTTAGAAGGCATCAGTGAAAAAGGCAGAGAGTTTGATCCGGTTGCCATGGAGTGCAGAGAAACGCATTTTCCTCCTACTTATCTTGTTTGAGAGACAAAAAAAAAAAAAGCTTTTACATTTTGTTACCAATAATAATTGCCATTAATCAAAGTTTTTGTTTCAAAAAAGCATAAATTGTAACCAGAATTTCCGGAAATGCTCGGTCCGTATCATGCTTTCAGTTTTACCCTAGGACCGTCCAATTTATTAACCCTTTATATCCGGCTTTTATTCTGCTAAATATATGCCTGCCTCCTTGGCACTCTGCAATAATCTCTGCATATTATAAACCCAACATTTTTTTGTTCTCAAATACAAAAGAGAAATACTTTTGTTCTCAAGTTGAATTGCGATGCAGCTTTTAGTCTAAACCATGCCAATGCTGGAATAGGGATCATTGCTCGCAATGAGGAAAGTAAAGTGATAGGTGGGTTGGGAAGCCTGTATTTGCTAAATCCACTTTGGAGGCAGAGGCAATGGCTGGGAAGGAACGTGCATGTGAGGGTAGCATGTGAGACTGGTCTGCTGAAAGTAATTCTTGAAACTGACTCTGGAAGTATTAGTGAAGAGTTTGAATCCCGATAAGCCTTGCATAGATTGGAGAATTATACCACTGGTGAAAGATATGCCAGAAAAGACTGGAAAGTTTGAGAATTTTGAGTTGAGATGTGTTGGGAAAGAAGCCAATAAGGCTACAGATTGAATAGCCGTCCAGTCTAAGAGAGGGATGTGCCACGCTAATTGGGTTGATAATGATATGCCCCCATCCTCAGTTTCCATTCTTGACAAGGAAGGTCTCCCTGCTTCTCTTTGAGGTAGTTTTGATAGTGATACATAGAGGGGCCTGGTCATGTTCATTTTGTTTCCGATGAGTTGTACTGTACTGTAATACACGGAACACTCAATTAAAATTTTCTCAGATTTCTTTGACGAATTTTTATGTCAAAAAATTAATTTGGCAGTAATCTCATTTCCTATTTTGACAATCCTGCCGATAAATGCATGATTCAACCATCTTATATTCTCATTCACAAAAGTTTAACTTCAATCGGATTATTGTTAAGTATTGGAGGTTTCGCATAAGATCACGGGAGGCAACCTCGTGCACTAATTGACAACACGAGTAACATTTTACATTCAATGCTCCAAATTTCGTTAAAATCCAACATGACCACGAACTTATTACGTTCAAACATGAATAGCAGGTAACAATACTAAACGCACTCTCTCCTTTGGAGAGGGCTACATGATCTACAAACACTTTCACACTACAAAAGTAGGGGAAACTATCGAAGAAAAAAACAAAAGAAACGAAAGAGTGTCCTTGGATGCTATTATGCTGTCCAAAGGTTATCCCTTAAAAAAAAAAAAAGAATACTTTTGGTGTCATAGGCAATTGTGGTTACTTTCACAGTTAGAAGAAGTTGAGGCGAGAGGTATAAGTTGCTTTTGGCGACCAATTTCTTGGGATGAGATCCCTTGCAGAGAGTGTTCTTCCTGTTGATAGTGTTGTTAGTTTCACTGAGAATGGTCCTTTCAAGGGTCCCCCAATTATGCACCAATTTGCTCCCCATAGATGATTCATCTCTAACCACTCATTAGAACTTGCCTGCCAACATCCAAATGTCAAATCTTTTAGCAGCAATATGGGATATGAATATAATAACCACTGTAAGATTACTTTCTTTTATCTCTCAATGTGGTTTTGTGGATTTCGAGTCTCTGAACTCAATGTGGTTTTGTGGATTCTATTTATGCATGTTGCTTTTTTTCTCCTCGAAGCTTGGGAATAAAAGGGTTAAAAAACAAGAAGAAGAAGTGGCTAAAACTTGGTTTGAATAAGGCTATTGTCCATAGTTAATGGTGGATACCCTAATCAGATGGTGTTAGTGAAAAGAAACTCCCATGCTAATGTCAGGATTTCCAAATGATCTTCTTTTGACTTATGGGTTTGGACATGCTGTAAAGATGGGACTTTTTGAGTGTGGCCTGGCCAGCCGCCTATATCACATGCTTTGAGTCAAGATTCAAGAAAATGGATAAGTAGTCAAAATAAGACTAATCACATGCTTTTGAGCACTTCGCACATTGGCGCCATTAGGAAAACCATAACCACGAATATCACTCTTATAATAAAATAAGACTAATGCTTTGTGTAGCCAAAGCAAGGGCAAGGGCAATGCTTTCTTCATAAAGTGTTTGATATATACCATCGTATTATTGGGAATAGTTATAATAATTTTAAATATTATAAAGCGATATGATATATAATAATATGAAAAAAGACATGAAAGCGATTAAATTTAAAATTTTAATAAAAATTGTATATGAATTTAATAAAAATAGATATGTATATATTTTGTGTTTGATATATCATAAATTATTATACGATAATTTTCATATTTTACTCATATTAATTAAGTATAAAATGAGCATATACAACTATATAAATTATCAAATCTAATTAAGAATTATCTATTTTTAAACAAGGGTTAATAATAATAAAAGATTCTAAAGCAGTCTACCATTACCTTTCTTTAAGGTATAGACATGACATTTATAGTGCTCCCTTCATCCTAAATTTTTTAGGTATTATTGATTTTTTTGGATTTAAAATAAAAAAGTTTTAATTTTAAGGTAGTTAATATTAAAATTTAAATTTTGTTAGAAAATTAAAATTTCATAGTTTTTAATACTAAAAAGCAAAAAAATCATAAAAATAATTTTAAAATATAAAAGGTAAGAATTTTAAATGTTTAAAAAAGATAACATAATTTTGAGACATCCTAAAAAAGAAAGATGAATAAAAAAAAAAAAAAAAAAGGGAAACGAGAAACAGTATTAATTTTTGTTCATCAAGTTTAGGCAGCTTTTGACAAGTAAATTTGAAAGTGCATTGCTTTTGAAGATGTAGGCATTGTACCTTTTGCACTTTTATTGATTATTTTTCCTAAAGTTAGTGATATATTAATTTTGAGGAGCCTAAAGAGGGATTTTGCACAAGTCACAAAGATTTTATGCAATGAAATCAAAATAACTTTTCTAACCAAAAGGATAGTTGAATTTATCGAAGAGAGAATAGCACTTACTTCCCTAATATGCATTGACCCAATATCTCCATCTCTATCCTCAAATTCCACCAGAATAGATAGCCAATAATCAGTAGAACCTTCATTAACATGAAAGGCTATGTTCTTTCCAGGATATTTACATGGTGCCCTAAAATTTTAAAATAAACTAATATTAAGTTTAGAAAATCAAGATATGGAGACAAAAGTAATAGTAGTAAGAGTAAAAGGATTGAGGCAAAATGTAACAAATTTACTCAATTTATTTTGATTTGGGGTCCTGAATGCTTTGCTTTAGAAGCCCAAACTTTAGGCTCCTCAATTTTAGTGGTAAAATGTAAAAGTGCGATCAACGGTCAATCCATTTAAGTGTGAATTGTGAAACTTAGACAGCCGAATAATGTACCCTCATCTTGGTAAAAATCAGATGAGAAAAGATCATGCCATAATATATTGGATACGTCAATAAAAAAATTGTATTACTTACATATTATTTATCAAGATAAATTATTAACAAAAAATTTTAATTTAATTTTTACAAAACAAAATTTTAATTTAACTTTTACACGTAAAATATTTAATATTTATCAATTCTATTAATTATATAATCGTTTTAAATTGATTTTGATGTCTAATTCCCTCTGAGAGAATCAAAGTAAACAAGCTATAAAGTAAGATCATAAGGTATCATTCTTTATCCATAAAATATGAAACAAACTCCAATGTCAGGGTCCTATAGGCTTCTGGTAATTTCCAAATGGTAAAACCGTCATATTAAAAGATTAAAAAAATGAAAATAGTGGCAAAATAGAGGTGACAATGAAAAAAAAAAAAAAAAAAAAAAAGACCGTTGAAGGAACCGACGAGTGACAACATGGTACAGAGCGAGGCAGTCCCAAAAGGAGAGCACATACCTTCTATAAACGACTGGGAGTTCGCCTCGGCTCCTGAGCTTTGCACTCTCACCGTTTATAGCCATGCGGCCAAAGGCTGCGCCACTCAGGTCGAAGTGGGTGCGGGCATTGGCGCAGTACCCTCCAGGGCACTCATCAGTTACAATGATGGTCACGGCCCTCCTTGAGCATATGCTCTTGTCTAGGCACCTAACTTTGTAGCGTGCCCCACACCCTTCCCCGTTCTTGAACAGCACTGGACTCACCGCTCCCACTCTGGCCCTCAGCGGCTTCACGTCGACTAACGACCCGTACCCACATGCTCCCCCTGAAAATATTACTACTTGAAGTAAAAAATTGAGATGATTCAACTAAGAAAAGTAAAATTAAGACAGGATTGAGCACGACATTTAACATTTTAATCTGATTAACTTGAGTTGACTCGGAACTCTACTACCGGACTAGAGAAAAACTGAAAAGCAGCTAACATAAAATGCAAGAAAACCTGTTACAGATCTAAAATACTTAAAAAAAAAAAATGTGACGTTACTGCAAAAGAAGCCACTTATGTCGACTCTTACCGTCGCTGCCATCACCGTCAGGACTGCCGTACCAAGTGGCGGTGGCAGGATGCCAATGTAGGTCAGAAACATTGTGCGGAACTGGGACCTGATAAGACACCTTTAAACACTTCAACAACACTAGGCAACACAATGTAACAAGCCCAATGAATCCTAGGCAACGCTGCATTGTCTTAGCGCCACTACTTGTTCAGCCTTGGTCGGTGCAAATTAAGTCGAAAAGAAAAATAAAAGAAAAAGTAGACAGAAAAATGCAGGTAATATAGCTATCTAGTTCTGCAGACAGTTTTTATTTGCATTGAATATTGATAGACTGAAGACGGTGTTCAGAGCTTGTTACGCATATAGAAGCAGAGGTAAAGTTAAATGTGTTTATTTATTTATTTATTTTATTTTTCCATGAATCCACTAGATTTGGATTTATTTACATTGTTGCCAACAAAGCCGGGTGGCCCTCCGACCGTAAAGGCGTTTTCCGCGTGATCGTACCTGTAGAGAGTCCTGGGGGTGTTTTGGTTATTTGGGTATTCCACCGTTAAAATTGTTGGTTTTTTTTTTTTTTTTTTTTTTTTTTCAGGGCCATGTGAATCGTGATGGTTAGCCGTTAGGGTATGATTGGTGCGGTTGGAATGATGTCGTGTCAGCAATTCAACATTTCAAAAATCGGTTGCTTTGCCTTTTTGCCGTAAGGTACAATGTATTACCGAAATCGAAACCTGTTTTTTCTGTTTCGTATTGTGTCCCGAAATGTGGAAATGTTTAGCCTGATTCCATTGACCTATTTGTCTTTGAGAATTGAGGAATTTAAATAAATTATATCTTGGGTTCTATTACACTTAATGGCGTAAAGATTAGAGTTTAGGGGTTGCTTTATTTGTTTTTGCTTGAAATTTTTTAATTTAAAAAATTAAATATTAAATATTTTTATCAATAAATCAATTTTTTCAACTGTTAATCGGTTTGCTTTAATTTTGATTATAGATTTAGATAACAAAATGAAAATTATGTTAATTTTTATTCGTCTTCTTCATTCCTACAATTTATGAATTGCACATGCAACTAATGAACTATAAACATGGATTAGGAAAAACAGCTTAGACTAAGAAATGAAAATACTTCAAAATGCAAATGCTATAGAGTTTTAAAACTGATGATTTCTAGCTAAAATGTTGGGTAGATCAAAGATTTGAATCAGATCATTTACTTATTCCAATTCTATAATTATATGTACTATGGTCTCTCATTTTTAAAGGTTTTTAAGAGTTTAGGCATTAGTTTCCACTACTGATATTGCTCCCTCAACTCAAGTTACATGTAATTTGGTGGATTAAGTAACTTCCTTTTGTTGGAAAAAGCAGCTTCCAATTACTAATGCGTTAAAAAAGTTTTGCTCTTTTGTTTGTTAGTTTTGTTCCGAGTGATGGATTCTTTTGGGGCTGATCCAAGACCTAACAATTGAAGAATGAGAAAAATCTCCACAAATTAATTTCAAGGGAAGAGAGGAAGCTGACCTTCATTTACTCCACAAATTTCTCTCAGACATAAATATGTACAAAGTAAATGTCATCAATTTTCAAAAGAGGATTGCATAAAAATTCTCTTCTTTGTCTGCGAGCTTAGACTTTGAATGTGACCACTTGCCGGCATACATCTGATTCACATGGATCCTCTGTTCACACATTCTGAACTCTAGCGCCACTTTTCTTGTTTTGTGGAAGAATATTAATGCATATACTTGATTTTCAACGTCAGCACACTACTTCTTTTCCTGACTACCATGACAATTTTGCAAAGATTTTCAAATGGGGATGCTATGTGAAAACCAAAAACTAAAAATAAAAATAAAAAATCAATCTGCTTGTAGATTAATGTGAACCTGACTTAACAAAACTGTAGACGGAAAAATGATTTCTAAATGTTTATTTCTTTTCCACAAAATTACATAAATTAATATAAAATTTCTCTACTTAGTTTACAATATAAATTTCCATGAACTGGCTTATCGTTTATTGAGTTGCAACTGCCAGCATAATTTCCTAAGCTCACGCAAAATACGAATTAATAGACAGTGACTGGCTCCAGGTAGTGTTTTTGATGTCATGCTTATGTTCAAACTCAATCAAGCAATTTGCATCGAATTAATTAAATAAAGGTTAGTTCTTTCAAAAGAAGATTTGCATGAATCTTTATCAAAGGGAAAAAAAAAAAAAAAAAAAGAATGAATGAAAAGCATTCCTTGACTATCTCATTCTTTATGAAATCCTTTTAACAAAAGAGTAAATGAAATGCACCCGAGAACGCACCCAAGCATTTGAAGAAATAATGCATGGTTTTTTACTGAAAAAACAGATTCGAATCTCCTCCCGCAATTCAAAAGAAAAATATTAGAGAGCAGCTGAAATCGTGTTTTGTTACTCTTCCATCATGACTTTAAACTAAAGGTGATAAAATAACCTCAAAATGAAAACGAAAAAGTTCACTCGCGAGATTTAAGAAAACAATCAGAGATAAACTCAAACTTAAAATTGTCAGAATCTAGACAATTCAAATTTAAACATGATCCAAACTCAAAAAGTATGTTTAAATGGTTACATTTTTATCTAAATTTTAAAATTGATCCTCTAAACTTTAATCCAAACCCGGTCCAACCTTAAAAAAACTCAATTCTAATACAATTTGAATTTGAAATAATTTGAACTTGATTTAATCCAAATCCAAATCTGTCCACTCGTTACCTTTAGTCTAATCCTAAATTTTCTTACTTTGTAACGAGGGCATGTAGCAAAAAATTGAAGCAAACCTGTTAATTAACAAATGTTATATAACATAAACATGCACGATATATATATAAATATATATATATATATATGAATTATAGAAAAAAGTGCTACTTATTAAAGTTAAAGAAAGATAGTTTTCAATTAAGCTTTAATAAAGAATGGTAGTTAAAGCAGCTACCGTTGAAGAAGATACCGTGTGAATGTAAATCCATTCAGCTTATAGCATAAACTGGATTATTTTAATGGCTATTGCACCTCGCTTAACTACTATTATATTCAAGAATAAAGGATGGGTGTCCAGAGAATAAGTACCTGAATCATGCTTTTGAAAAGGCAAATATATACATCCATGGAGGGGAGGGAAAAGCTCAAATAAAAGCTTGCTTCAACTACATTTAAGATTTTTCTTTTTCTTTAACGTTTTCTTTAGCTTCTCTTGTTAAGTAGTATTTGGTATCTGTAAAGTCTCTTTACGGGCTGTATGAAAAATTGGCAGTCTATGGACGGTACGGTGTTTTGGTATATGAGTTCGATTTTGTTTTAAGTTGATTAGCACATGCCATGTGTCATGATTTTAAAGAGAAGTCAAAAAAAATTTGACTTGAGATATAAGTGTTCATATCATCTTTAATTTGTGACATGTTTTTTGTGAAAGAAAATCGTAAAATTCAATAAATCAAAATAGACAATATTTTACAAGTTAATGCAACCCAAGATACCATGCCACTTCTATATGATTTATAAAATTTTCTAAAGGTAATAACTGGCTGTTGAAGAACCGAACCAGTGATTCTTCTTCAATTATATATGACAAAAAAATTTAAAGATAGGGTTTCTTATTCATATTTCATTTACTTGAAGAGTTGATTAGATCAATTTATTTCCTAAACTTTTTTTTAATGAATCAATTGGTTAATGTTATAACGATTTTTGAGAGTCGCTAGATGAATTTGAAAAAACAAAAAGAGTAATCATTAATATTTTTTGACTAAGTACAATTGCCCACCTATTAAAACTTACTTCTTCAATAAAGATTTTAAAATTAATTAAAACTTTATCAAAAAGATAATTTTTATGTTTGCGAAATAGTTTAAGTTCAAGAGTCAATTGCACATAGGGAAATATTAGCATCCCCACATCGCTTGTTTAAAACAGTACCAATTAATTATGTATTATCCTTTAATTATGACAAAATGGTCTTAATTTTGGTATTTCAAATTTAATTTTCCTAATTTTCTTTATTGTAAAAAAACATATTTATCCTTTTAGTATTTTTCTATTTTTGAAAAACAAATAAGAATCTTGCATATTGAGAAATTCTTGAAAATATTCCAATATTTTGAAAATATTCAAATATTTTGAAAATATTCAAATATTTTGGCAATATTAATAGGAACTTTCTCACCTAAAGAATTTTTAAAAATTTTTACTCGAAATTCTAAAAAATCCTATCCTCGACGTTCCATATTTTTCATTAAAACTAATATTTACAATGCATATAGTAAAATAGTATGTCTAGAATAAAAAAAAATAAAAAACTATTTCCTATTTAAAAAAAAATCTTTATCCAAAATTATACTAACTACCCCATTACATTAGCGGCATTTTAGATAAATTGTCTCATCCAGAGATTCCTAAATAATCACTACTTGGACTTTTTTAGGATCTCATCCTCAAAAATTTTATTTACTTTTATAATCACTATAAAAAATTAATGCACATGGATTAATTTATGATACTATTGCATGAAAGTTCATTTTTAAAAATGAAAAATAAATGAAAATTTTTTTCGTATTGAGAATCATTCTAAATATTTCATTTTTTTGGCAATATTTTTGGAAAAGTTCTCTTACCTAAGAAATTTTTTAGAATCATTACTCGGACTCTCCAGAATCTTATTATCAAAAATTCTCATCTAATTAATTTTATTATTATTTTTTAAAAGTTATACAATAATATATTATCTATAAATTTATATTCTAAAAAATGCATACTCTTATAAATATTTTATATTTTTTCTATCCTTTTAAGAAAATTGTTCAAATTAAAGAAAAATAGAAATCTTTGTATTGAAAAGAATTTCTAAATATTCCAATACTTTGGTAATTTCTAGAAATCTTTTCTCACCTAGGGAATTTTCGAAAATCACTATTCGGACTTCCCAAAATCCCATCATCAGAAGATTTTCATTCAATTTTAGTCTTATCACATAAATAAGTTTATAGTAACATAAATATTTTCCAACAACCATTTCCTAAAACAACATGTATTTAAAAATATAGAATCATAATTATAAGTATTAGACTAATTAAATAACAAAATAAATAGTTATATGGGAAAGAAATATACCAAACACTATAAAGGTTTAGGTCTTTAGTGGCATTTTTTTTTAAGGTTTAGCGGCGTTTATAAACACTACTAAAATATTTGCAGCATATGCCAAAAATGCCACTAAAAGCATTAGCTATA